ACTAAACACCAGCCTAGTGTCACACGCTGGCTACAGGTAGGTTATAACACACTAAAGGATCACTACCGACTGATCAGTACTAAACACCAGCCTAGTGTCACACGCTGGCTACAGGTAAGTTATAACACACTAAAGGATCACTACCGACTGATCAGTACTAAAAACCAGCCTAGTGTGACACGCTTGCTACAGGTAAGTTATAACACACTAAAGGATCACTACCGACTGATCAGTACTAAACACCAGCCTAGTGTCACACGCTGGTTACAGGTAGGTTATAACACACTAAAGGATCACTACCGACTGATCAGTACTAAACACCAGCCTAGTGTGACACGCTTGCTACAGGTAAGTTATAACACACTAAAGGATCACTACCGACTGATCAGCACTAAACACCAGCCTAGTGTGACAGCTGGCTACAGGTTCAACTGCGTTTTCTTATGATATTGATCCAGGTACTTTCAAAACATGGACTTAAAGAGGACGACATAAAAAGAGTCATCGACCTTAAAAAATTTGTGGAGGATATGTTTTCATGGGTATCATCATACCACAGAAAGCAACAAAAATTAAACCCCTACGAAAATTAGTGATTCCGTAATAATTGTTAAAATCAATGTGAGAAACAAAAGATACACATTGACATGTAACTGTTTCGCTTTGCATAAAATTAAGGAATCATTTGAATCTTGGGGGGGGGGGGGGGGTCATTTTGTGAATTCTTAGAATGAAATATATGGAGATAACGAACAGTATTCAAGCTCAAAAGTCCATTATACAATACAAAATAGGAGCAGAGCAAACACGGACCTCCAAACATCAGAGGTGGGATCAGGTGCCATGGAGGAGTGAGTGTACCTGTTTCTAGGAACTTTTAAAATGCTGGCAAGAGTCTTTTTTCACTATGAAAGACACCATAGATGGAATGTATATCTATGCTGAGATTGTTAGATCCTAACATAGAAATCCAAAAGCATTGAATTTAATCTTTAGAAAATGTGATGATTCTTACTGTATTTTTTCTGTAAATGATATTGCAGGTCTGCTTTGAAAAGAATAACGTGATGGATAATCTTGCCTACAAAAGAATACGGGACAGATTTGGAAACCAGTTCGACTATTCTTTAAATTAACTCTTCAGAAATGGAGACCAGAATGCCTTGTATGCTGTGTATTTCAGAATATGCTAACTGTGATCTAGATGTATCTGCAATTTTATTTGAAGAAAACAAATGTTGATGTTCTAAACAAAATCTGTGCAATATACATGTAATTGAAATCAAATGACCTTTAATGAGGATAGTATATCAGTTGATATGTGTGTATAGTTTATCTTATTTTCATATTTAACCAAGATATATCAAAGTGGTAGGCACTGACTTTATATTTATATAATTTAAATGTGACTGTGTTTATTTATAAAAATGATAAACATGTGGTATGAATTTTCAAATATTTACAGGTACAAGTATTTTTTTTTACTTGAAAATTAGATATATTAATATGAGTGATTTTTAGTGAATTACTTATTATAAACTATTGATTTGTCATTTATTTATTTGTGCAGTTTATTATATTGATTGGTAAGACAAAGTACTAAATCTGCAGTGCTAGAAATTGTAATTTTTTGTACCTTGTGATGATTATGGACTGGGCATACAGTGTTTCTCATGTTCTGTCCCTATTTCCTTCTGTCCTTCCATCACACTTTGTGTTTAGCTCAGTTTCAAAAAAAAAAAAAAAATCAAGATATTTTTATCAAACTTCATATGCTTCATTCAAAAGCAAAGGATAAGACTGGGTGGAGGGACTGTGTGCTGCCTTATGTGCCACCTGGCATGAAGAGGCCTAAGTAAATAAGTAAGTAAGTCATATGCTGATACATATTGATGAGAGCTATTCAACTGCATCAACATTTTTTGACCTTGAACTTACCTTTGTCCTTGACCTCACTTTTCTCAATTTTGTGTTTAGCTCACTTTTAGAGAAACAAGATATTTTTATCAAACTTCATATGCTGATACATTTTGGTGTGTGTGTTATTGAATGGCATCAAATTTTTTGTTAGCTTGAGCTACCCTTAGACTTTGACCTCTTTTCTTAAAGATGCTTTTATGTAAGATAAAACAACATTTTTGCTAACATTGAAAATTCATGATTCGAAACTAGGAAAACAACATGGTTAGTTTGGATGTTTATATTTTTATTTAAAGGTCAAATATTGTATTTTATTTTTATAGTTTAACTTGCTACAGTTATCTTATATATTGATAACATATTCAATCTAGATCGACAACACACTGAAACTTTTTATTTTGACGCATTTGTTTACACACTTTCGTTTCCTTTGACTTGCACTTGTGCATGTTCAAATCTGAGATAAGTGTATTAAATTGTAAATACTGTCAAAAATAATCATGCAGATGTTTTAATGACTCTACAGGGGGTAGAATATTCACCCTATTATTGTATTTACATAGTAAGACATTTTTAAAAGAGCTTGGATCGATTTAAGTAAATATTTTCTAAAATTTTCCATATATTATCACTACATTTGTACCTATATGTTGCTAGAGCATTTCACACCGAAATATAATAAACAAAAGCATGTTTAGAATTTTTTTTTATATGGAAATTATTAAAACTACGAATATCGGGACGCGTTTGATTGACACGTATCCTTACACTTTCACAAAGTAAACTTTATCCTTAAGGTATCCGACCCATGATAGCCTCAAATTCAACAAAATTGAATGCATAACAGATATATATATGGGCTGAATACTCGGTATATTTAGGCAAAATTACGGATCTGGTATCTTGTTTTAGTATCGGCATGCAAGAGCGCAATGTGTCCCAATTTATTACCTTGCCCTGTCCTTGAAGAGTAATCACCCTTTGCTTGAAATAAATTTTAAAAAATCTGTTAAAAAACTTTCTAGTAAAAAATCAGTTTTGAATCGTTTATCTATTTCTTATGAATAAATACAGCGTACATCTTTCAACCACAGTATTTATTAATATTCTTAGAATTTAAAATTTTTTACTCAAAAATGTGCTTGTCCCAAAGACTTCTGTGCAATCTTCATTAATTATTGGTTAGGTAATTCCAATTTTTGAAAATTTCTCTTGGTAAACCCTTTTTTACTCTAAAATGCTTTGAATTATAATGAGAGTATTTTATACATGATGGATATTAAAGGTTAGAAAATTACGTCCTAATATGGGTCGGATATCTTAATGTGTACGAAAAGTAAATATTTTGTTGTGTATTAATGAACACCGAATACACCTATTTGAATGTCAGACACCCAACACGGATCTGCCCAAGGTCGGCCTCTATATACGTGTATAAGGCAGCTCGGTCCAAGAAAAATTTCATTAGGAAATAGATTATACATTTTCAATTTGAGACATGAATAAAATACATAAAGAGCAGATAGTTGATCTCCTTTGCAGTATGTTCTTGCCAGTCCAATATCCTCAATCACTGTACTTTTCCTCATAATATTTTAAACTGATACTGTTTTTACAGAATGATTCATTTTCCAATACAGATAGAGATTAAAGTTTATCATAATCTTTATTCATCACAAAGACTGCAAACCCTTGTCATTTTTTTCCCTAGTAATAATGGTTTCATCTTTCTTTAAATTTTCTATGGCAGAGAAACCTCATTTTCAAATTAAATTATAAGAAGACTGTTTTATCTTAATATTGCTGCTGGGGAATTTTTTAATGTTCAATAAATCTATCAATGTTTTGATTTCTACATCCTGAAGGATTTAATTTACTACCATTAGAAACAATAGATTCATCTCTGCATTAATTCCTACAAAATGCTTCTATTTTATTTAGGAAAAACTTGAATCTAGGACTGGGTTATTAATTTATACATGTATAACGTATTTGTAAATTTTATCAATTAAACCCATGAGCATGTGCTACACTACTCATTTGGTATAAATTTAAAGTTGTTCAATATTTTCATTTTATTCCGTAAAAAATCATGACAATTTAAAGCCAGAAAACGAGGAACATTCAGCATAAGCGAATTCCCCATCTTTTCCTCTCGTTTTTATCCAGACCTTGTCATTCTTCTTCATTTTTATAATTGTTGTGGCGGATCCTGTTGAATAATTTTGACTCCCATTCTTTTCGTCAACATGGTTTCATCCCACGACATTACTGGTATCATTGAGAACAATATTTGTGACAAATTTCTTTCGAGGTGTCGTCAGAATGGTCCATGTAAATGAGTAGATTCCATCCTTTGTCGCCGTGAATTTTCCTGTGTTATCATCATAGGCGGATCCAGAATTTTCTGTAACTTTTCCAAATACAACTACGGAATTATTTCCGAGGTTCTGTAGATCAGTTGCAATTCCAGCATGAAATGAAATTATATCTATTGGAAGAAAATATGCTATTGTGAATGTTTGTGTCAGTTTATTTTCAAGTTTACTATAAGTTTTTCCAGACAATCTAAAAAAGCTTATTTAGACGATTTGAATTAAGCTCAGAACTTACTCCAAATAATCGATTTTAAAACGAAGAGAGATGAAAAATAGAAAATTTGCACTGGGTCATTGATTCTCAGTCTATTTATTTATTTTTTTTAATTACATTATAAATATAATCACTCACATCAGGCACGTAGTACTCATTTTAAAAGGGGGAGGGATGAGAAAAAAATTGACCGAGAGAGGGAGAGAGAGAGAAAGAGAATCGTTCAAACTCGAAAAATCTATTTCATGTTGGGGTGAGGGGTTGGGGGTGGAAGGTTCCAACTTTTTTCATTACCAAATTTTATTCATACATTACCGGATTACCCTGATAGACTTTACTTCAATAAAAAAGTGTGTGTGTGTGGGGGGGGGGGATGCAACCAACCTTCAATGAACATTTTCAATAGTAAAAAGCAATTTTTGAGCCCCCCCCCCGGGGGGGGGTGCGACTTGCCTACACATAATTTTGTTTATTGATAAATATATTACCTCTTTCACGTCCTTTACAGTTATCTCCCCTCAAGCCCATTCCTCGACATACTTCATTATACGTATTCAATTTCTTCAGGAAATCTTTTGTGCCTGCTTCTGCATTCGCTCCAGATAGCAGGAAACTTGCAAAAATCAGGTTCAATAACTGAAATCTGTTTGTTAAAATATTGATTTATGTACTCAGATTCATCAGTGATCTATTAAAATTGTTTGATATCAAAAAGGTTAATTTTCATAATCAAGTTACGAACTTAATACTAATAAATTCAAAGATGAAAATGTATAGTAAATAAATGTATTAATATTATAAGAAAGTAAAAATAGACTTATATGTACATCGTTTCTCAAAGGGATTCGTACAGTATAATGTATTTAATCAGATTTCAAGTACTATATAAATGTTTGTAAATACATTAAAGGTCATTAAAATGTAATATTAGTTAAGGTATATGTATTGATTGTGACTGTCCTGATATATTATTTCAATAATTTGAAATGTTAGAAATCACATAAACTTATATAAAAAGAAATTTCTGTTTATTTGTTTCAAAATGTTCACTCGGTTATTATGAATAACATGATATAGTGAATCATTGCAAAATAATCAAAGAAATGTTTGTTTCATTTTTACTATTAAGGAACTCTATTGATTTCTTAAAGTATCTGCATATTGAAAAAAAATATACATAAATGCATTGATTATATATATTATATATGCAGCTACTCTTTTCGATATAAAATTTTAAGTTCATTATCCGCCCTTCTCAGACGCTCCAGATCGTCGGAGAAACAATGCAAAAGACAGGTACTAATACGATAGTATTCAGTCATAATATACACTTGTAAATATAAGCTCGTGAGTACCAGTACAATAAAATTAAGTTATAATATACACTTGTAAATATAAAATCGTGAGTACCAGTACAATAAAATTCAGTTATAATATACACTTGTAAATATATGATCGTTAGCACTAGTTCGGAAAAAAAAAATTAGTTACAATATACACTTGTTAATATGTAAGATCGTGAGTACTAGTACGATAAATTCAGTTATGATATTAGATCGTGAGTACATATAATATACACTTGTAAATATAAGCTCGTTAGATGGAATTTTAGCAATTTAGTTTTACATACCGGGTATTTTAGACAAGAAATAGATGTGATAGTTTAGACTGATCTATTTAGAACATTCAGAAATGAAATATTTTTCCGTCAAACGCCCTTTGATTTCTGTAATAAAAAAAATATATTAGATTGTTAGAAAGGATTTGTCTGAAATTTAATTAACAATCATTAAAATATTAGACTGTAAAAAGAATTTGTTTGAAATCTAATTAAGAATCATTAAAATATAAGAAAGAATTTGCTTGAAATTAACAATTATCTAATCACAGCTCCTTTGATTAAAAAATTGAAAAATTATTAGATTGTAAAAAAGAATTATATTCAGATTTAGTTTTACTTTATAGATGTATCATACTGGGCATTTTCCACAAAAAAAATAGTTTGGGTTAGGGGAACGAACCAATTATATATCCCCCATTTGACTTTTGTTGAAGAGAGAGAGAGAGAGAGAGAGAGAGGGAGAGAGAGAGAGAGAGAGAATTATTGGTTTGTTAGAAAGAACTAGCAAAATTAATAAAATAATTATGTTTATGACATCATTATTGATGAGAATAATATTTCATACGCTCAGGATAATTTTTTGTATCATAAAATTTCCGACAGCCATGATCGTAAACCTCAAAATGACCAAAGTTGAAACGGAGAGTTAAAAGGTGCTCTATTGGTATCCATTATTAGAATCTCAAAATATTTAGTGTTCATTACCACTATTACCATTATATATGTACATTTATGAATTTGTTTATTTGTTATACCCGTACTTTCTAAAAAAAAGTTGGGATATATTGTTTGTTCAGTAATTTAATGAATTATATGGTTGATATTTAGGCACAAATGTGTATCACATTCATTTTCTTTCAAGGAGATCACCAAACCAGCTACAGAAGACACATCTAAACCTAAAAGCACAGACAGCACCTCCAGTCGTAAGGACAAGTTACTGAGCAGTGCTCCTGTGGTTTCATTTGAAATTGATCTGGAACACTGGGAAAATCCAGATAAGATCCAGGCTCCAGAAATAATCAGGCAAGTTACTTTTGTCACCAATGTTTCACACTGAACGTTTGATCAAAATACCAAGTCAACAACTAAATTAATAAATTTATCAAATATTTAACAGGGTCCAGAAATTTTACAAAACTTATGATATTCCACTATATCTTTATAAGCATGAATCACTTCACCGATTTTGGACTGCCTCTGATGTTGAACACTGCAAAACTGATACTGTGAGTTTTATATTACAGGTTACGGACAGGACATTCAAAGCACTCTATGATTAAAAATCAATACTCTTACTTTTAAAATGCTTTTATTGCAAACAAATATTACGGTAAATAAATATAAATAATAAAATTTTATTCTTACTTTGTTTTAGAATTTTAGAGCAGCTTTTGTGAGTTAACTAAGAGAGACTTTCCGTTCGTGTGTAAGTTTGAACCAGTCATATGGAAGTGTAGAGCCCCACTGCCCAATGGAAGTTTGTGTGAACGAATGAATAGAATCAAGGTATCTTGTGTTGTTGGTTTTTTTTAACTTCACCATGTACATATGTACATTTCAAAAATGTCCTGTAATTGTAATCTTTTTTTCTCCTAAAGCAACGAACTTATGAAAATTGGATCCACTTACACGCTCGTTGCACTAACTTCATGTAGTGTAGCAAGTATGCGATCGGCTCTTACATCTTATTTTAATTAGATTACTAAAGTAACAATACATTCCTATTAATATTTTGTTATACTTTTCTCAATAAACCATACAATTCATAGGCATCAGAACGGGGGGGGGGGGCTAGGGGGGCTTAACCCCCCACTTTTTTGCAAAGATAGACATAATATAGGTATTGAAAATTGGGGATTACCTTTTTTTTTGGTTTAGCCCCCACTTTCAAAGAGCCCCCCCCCCCTTTCAATTTGCTTCCGACGCCTATGCAATTAGTGATACATGTACTATGTGCTCGTAGTTCACAATTTCAGTAGTTGTCCAATTCTTGTGGGAAAAACTAAAGCACAAAACATTTCAATTACTAGTATATGTCTTTGATGAAGCCAAATGCATTAAATATGAAATTGTACATCTTTTTGTATTGACACTGTGAAAACTTGAATGTTACATGTTTATTTTAAAAAAAGAAAGAAAATGAAAGTTAAAAAATGTTACAGATGTATATCTGGTATTTTGTTGAAGCTGTGAATATACATTGTTCATTGTATAGTGATAGTTGTATTTACTAAGATAACTTCCATTCCTATGGAGTACATGTACGTCTTGCTGATTTTTAGGTCACCTGAGTCACTCAGGTGACCTATTGCTATCTTTTTTCGTCTGTCGTCGTGTGCGCCGTGCGTCGTCCGCCGTTCGAAAAGTTTTGAACATTTTCAGCTTCTTCTCTGGAACCAGTGAACCAATTTCAACCAATTTTGGCACATAGCATCTATGGGTTAAGGGAAACAAAAATTGTGAAATTCGTGGCCCCTGCCCCCTGGGGCCTGAGGGGTGGGGCCAAAACCATCAAAATTAATGCAATCTTTAAAAAAAAAATTATTTCTAGACGTGAAGCAGTCAAACTGTTGGCATGATTGTAATAATCATTGAGCCCTCTACTTAAATTGTGAAATTCATGACCCCAGGGTAAGGGGTTCTGGTGCTAGGGCAGGGCTCTGTTGACTATATAGTGAAAATGCATTATTACTGTAAAAATCTTCTGCTCCTGGGTATTCAGGAAACAAACTAAATGTTATAAAATGTTATAGTTATGCTGCGCAAGTGTGTCTCTTCCAAAATTGTGAATTTCATGGCCCCTGGGTCAGGGGTTATGTAGTTAGGGTGGGGATCTATTGATTATATGGTGAAGATGTATTAATTCTTTGAAAATCTTCTTCTCTGCTCCTGGGTATTAAACAAGCTAACTGAATAGATAGTTATGATAAGCAAGGATGTTTCATCCAAAATTGTGATTTTCATGGCCCCTGGGTGAGGGGTTCTGGTGTTAGGGCGGGGCTCTATTGATTATATAGAGAAAATGCATTAATACTTTGAAAATCTTCTTCTCTGCTCCTGGGTATTAAACAAACTGTGTACATAGTTATGATAAGCAAGGATACCTCTTCCAGAATTGTGAATTTCATGGCCCCTGGGTCAGCGGTTCTGGTGTTAAGACGGGGCTCTATTGATTATATAGTGAAAATGCATTAATGCTTTGAAAATCTTTTTCTCTGGCCCTGGAGATTATTTTAACAAACTAAATGCATGATTATGATAGGCAAGGATGCCTCTTCTAAAATCGTGAAATATACTGCCCCAAGATCAGAGGTTCTGGTGGAAGGGAGGCTCTATTGATTATATAGTGAAAAAGCATAATTGAAAATATTCTTTTCTGCTTCTGGTTATAAGGCAAAAAAACTAAGTGTATAGTTATGATGAGCAAGAGTGCTTCATTCAGAATTTTGAGTTTCATTGCCCCTGTGTCAGATGTTCTGGTGTAAGGGTGGGGCTCTATTGATAATATAATAAAAATGCATTAATTCTATTAATTAATCGTGTCTGCTCCTAAGTGTTGAGCAGATAAAAACAAATTGCATAGTTATGATGATTAAGGGTGCTTCTAACAGAAATTTTAAAACTTGTGGTCTTATCCCAGGATCAGGGGTTCCGACATTACCTGGGAGGGGGGAGCTATTGATAATATAGTGGAAATGTGTTAATTCTTTGAAGTGCATAGTTATGATGATGAAGGTAACTCTTCCAAATTTGTAAATTTTTTGACCCTGGGTCATGGGTTCTAGTGTTAGGGCAGGGCTGTGTTGAATCTGTAGTGAAAATGCATTATACATGTGAAATTCTTCTCTACTTCTGGGCATATCAGAGGCAAACCGAGTAAAAGTTTTGATAAGCAAGGGTATTTTTACCAGATGTTTGAACATCTGGACCAATTTGTCAAGCAATCAGGTCCTGGGCAGGGCTCTAT